AGAGAAGTACTTTTCACGTTTTGTTACATTTCTTAGTGTAAATGGCAGAGGAATGGGAACTACTGGACCACCTCTTGTGCTTCTGCTAGGACACTTTGTTAATATTTGTGTGAAGGCTTTGCTTTAAAAAAAATTACGTAATTTGTAAAGTGGTTCTGTGCTGTGAAGTGTTTACATGTGATCTGGTTGTCAGGAAGCTTTTGTTGAACTTGACAAACTTTATCATTGTAAGTGTGTGTTTGGTGGTAAAGGATCAGCATGTACAATCACAGGCAGTGTGCTATAGAAGCAGACCCTCCTGACAAAGAATCCTGGCCCCCTCCTCCCCCCATTCTTGCAGTCATTTGTGATTTTAGGCATGTCACAAGACAGGGGAGGGCCTCTGCTCCTTCCTCTCAGTGGTGAGGGGTAGAGCTGGATGGTGACTTAGGAAATTTCCAACGCTGACTTTCCATGATATCTGAGATTTGTGATTACAGTCTATTTAACACTGCAATGTGCCGTGTTTAGTTTGAGTGACTCCATTTAAACAAATGTAATGGTTTGGGGCAGAAAGGAGGGCAAGCGCATGTGAGATTGGTTGGAGTTTGGAGTATATTTATGGCATTGCTGTCTCGATTATTTTCCCTGTCAGGTCTTTTTATGACTTTCTGTTGTGTAATGCCAAGATTCACTTCCTGGAAACATCATTCTTTTATAAACATAAACCATTATTTCTGGAAGAGCAGATTTCGCCGTTTGTCCCCCCCTTTCCCCATGTTCTTTCTCACCCTTCTATTCCCCCGTGGTTTCTCTCTTCCCCCCAGCACAGCCTTACTCTTCTTTCCACACCTCTTCCTCTTGTCCTGTTATTTTAACATGTGTCCATGTGTGTGTGCGCACGTGCATGTGTGTTTCTCCCAAGTGCCTGCCTTCTGAGTGAGGCACACCAAATGTATTGGGCAACTCTGGCCCAGTTGCAAAGGAAGGGAGCAAAGGGGAAGTGTCAGAGGTAATAAAGCTTTGAAGTCACAGAATAGAAGAGTGGATTGTTTTTGACCTGCTGCTGTGCAGCGTTTGGTTTCTCCCAGCATTTTAAGACAAGTTTAGCGTCAGGTGATGTTTTTGCACTCAACAGAATTTCCAAAGATTGGCCACAGTTTTTTCCAGAATATGGAGGGTTTTCCTTGGCTTGATTGGCCAGGGAGTATATTGTTTTAAAGACATTATTCTTCTAAACTGGAATGAACTGTTTTAGGAAGCTTTATTGTTCCTGAAATGAGTTGAAGGATTTAATGTTAAACAAAGCCAGACATGTGGGTAGAGTTGATTGGATTGCTGGGCAGTGGCAGGGTGGCTATGGCCGTGTTAGCGATTTTATAAAGGCAGCCAATCAGCCACGAACCCTGGTCTTTTTAACATTCTTGTCAACTTTAAAAAGTACAAATGCGACTTACATGACAACTTTATTCTACCTTGAAACATCTTAATGGATACAACAATGGATTTGGTTAACATTAGTGTTTCAATTACAGACTCTCTTTATCCTTTGTTACTACCACTTGGATACTTTTTATAAAAAATCATTTTATTAGGGGCTCCTTCAACTCCTATCACAATCCATACATACATCAATTGTGTAAAGTACATTTGTACATTCATTGCCCTCATCATTCTCAAAACATTTGCTCTCCACCTAAGCCCCTGGCATCAGTTCCTCATTTTTTCCCCTCCTTCCCCTCTACTCCCTCCCTCATGAACCCTTGATAATTTATAAATTATTATGTTGTCATATCTTGCACTGTCTGACATCCCCCTTCACCCACTTTTCTGTTGCCCGTCCCCCGGGAGGAGGTCACATGTAGATACTTGTGTTTGGATACTTTACAAAGTGTTTTGACACACATATATGAAGGAGCAGGTGGGTCTACAAAAAATTCTTGGAAAAATACCATCATCTTTTAATTCCACTGCCCCCACCAATTTTTGAAATCCCCTTGTATGTTGGTTGGATCTGGACAAGATGATAAAATGGGACCGCTGGAAGATTCCCTGGTCATAAGTAAGCCAGGATTGGAAATTAATTTCCACTGGCCCGGGATTGAGTCCTTTTTCTTCCACTACACCACATTGCCTATTTTAGTTTGTGTGAGGTCTAATGATCTTAAATAGATAAAGCCCAAATACTTGAGATTAAAAGTAACTTCTCTCTGCAATCAATTAAACCAGCCATCCTTCCAGTGGGGGTTGGTTTGCAATGACTGCAAACAGCACCCTACTCTGTAGTGTTCAAAGCCTGTTGGTATGTATAGGCTTCCCTAAGGGACCTTGGAGACAACCCTTGGCAGCTCTTCAATGGCTCTGGCCTGACTTGATTTCTGCAGTCCCTAACCTAGGCTCTAAATCTTGATGGAGGTGCTTTTGGGAAACTCCAGGGTACGCTGGTGACTAGGCCACATTGACTGGTGATCTCATCCATCTGAACTAAGCTTCAAAGCAAGGAGCCTGTGATGAGGCCTTAAGCAGGGCCAAGTTCAAGATCCCTGGGTGCCTGAAGATCCACATCTCCAAGAAGTAGGGTTTCACCTAGCTTAATTCGGATGAAGTTGAGGACATGGTGTCTGAGAAACGTCTCATCTCAGATGCCTGTGGAGTCAAATACATCCCTCATCATGGCCACCTGGACAGGTGGTAGGCCCTGCATTCCTGAAGGCTTTGGTAGCCCTGTGCCCTTCCCCGATCACTGGAACACACTAATGCCTTGGAAAAGTCTATGCACCTTGATTATACTGAATTGGGACAGTGTGGAAGAAACCCAAGATAAGGGACGACGATGGGAAGTGGTGAAATAAGGAAGTGTGTCTTTTAAAGTATTGTTAACAGGATGGAACCAAATAGAATGGATCTTGGGGATGCTTGACTCCCTGTTGTTTCTCTCCACCCCCCACCCCCACCAGTATTGACAGTCATTAGTCTTAAAAGGATTAGTAAATATAATTGTCTAATTTCTTATACTTCGTATTTCAACAAATAGATGTTTTCCTACCAAAGGAGCCCTGGTGGCTCAGTGGCTAAGCTCTCCCTCCGTTGCCAACCCACAGGTTGGCGGTTTGAGCCACCAGTAGAAAGATGTGATAGTCCACTTTCATAAAGATTAGAGCCTTGGGCATCATGTGGGCAGTTCTGCTCTCTTCTGTAGGGTCCCTTGAGTTGGAATAAACTACAGTAATGTTGAATTTTTTGTTTTGCTTGCCTGACTATACAACTGTTTGTATTAAAAAGTACGAGAGTGGTATAAAATTTCTCCTGAAGTCAAGGAATTAAGAAACCAAACAATTCCCAGTGATCCATGTTGACATTTTGGGAAATACCAATTGATAATTGCAAAAATCAAATGAATCTAAAATCATGCATGTAGAAAAGTAGACAACAATAGTGCTCATTTATTGAGCACATACTGTGTTACAGTGACAGATACTATGCTAGAAGCTTTGTATGCATGTGTTTGCCCAGTACTTACTTAGTCATCCATTCAGAAGCTTTTATTGAACGTTTACTTTGTGCCAGGTCTGAGCACTCATAGCTAAGGGGCTGTTTTTAAATTCAGAAGGGACATGAGACAGTGGCGAGGGAGAGGTTAAAACTGAGTGCTATGGATGTGTGTGGCCTTGGAAAGGGTAAGGTCCAGTGAGCTCCCTGGGGGCTTGTGGGTCAACTTTAAAAGATGAGCAGGATCTAGGAGAAGGCATGGGGCTGGACATCACTAGAGCAGGGAAAGAATAGTGAATGAACTACACTCTACAAGCCATTGTGGGTCATTGCAAGGGAGAATACATCCAAGGAGCAGCTGAGTGAAAGACCCGCGTGTGAGGCATTGCAGGAAACTTTATTGTGCGTAGATCTTATTCCGTGGGAGATGGGGGGGAGGGCATCCAGGATTGGAACTGGTGTGACATGCTGGTGTTTAGATTTTCGTCAGATTACACAGATAACTTGAAGGTAGGTCTGATGCAAGGCCAAGACTGGAAGTAGCACACTCACTTATAAGAAGGCTGTTGTAGTAGGTTGTGTGGTCCAGATTTGGTTAGTGGTAGGGGTGGAGAGGAGCAGACTGGAACTCACTATCGGTTCACCGATTGAGTCATGGTCACCCTGTAGAATGGGATAGAGGTGCCCCCATTGTTTCTGAGATTGTAACTGAACATAGATGTCGAAAGCCTCATCTCTCTCCCTTGGAGCAGCTGGCGGTTTTGAACTATTAAACTTGTGGTTAGTCCAGTACATAATCAGTGCAGAAGAATGGAGAGAGAAATCAAGGGTAACACTTGGGTTTCTGGCTCTGTTTGGTTCTTGCCGTGAACAAAGAATCTAATGGTGATGAGTGAGATCAGTGTTTGGATCGATGAGGTTTTATGTCTGGTTGGGCACAAATGGTGAAGTGCTAGACTACTAGGCTAAAGGCTGGTGATTTGAACCGACCCAGACGTGTTTTAGAAGACAGGCCTGGAGATCTTTTTCTGAAAGGTCACAACCTTGAGACTCCTGGGGAGCAAGTCTAGTCGGTACACAAAGGGTCACTATGAGTCAACCTGATGACAGCAGCAGCAGCGGCCAGGTGATCTGACTTTATAGAAATAGGGAGAAGCCAAAGAGCTAAGCCCCACAGAAAGAGCAGGAGCAGATCTTTTGCAGTTAGGTGGCTCTTAAGTGCCCTCAACAGCTAAAATCCATAGCTTTTAATTTACCCCACTGTTCAAGTAATTCTTTCACCTACTTACTCAAACTACAAGTAATCCAAGTGCTGGAGTGTGTAAAGAAAAGCCAGGCATCAGGACTGGAGGAAGGCTCCTTGTCAATCTGTGTTCGGCAGCTGACATAGCCTTGCTTGCTGAGAGGGAAGAGCCTGGAAACACTTGCTGGTGAGGATCAAAGACTACAGCTTTCAAAATGGCTTACACTGCACTGTCGAGAAAACAAAAGTCCTCATAGCTGGGCCAATCGGGAACGTGATCACGATAGGCAAAGATTTCCTTTTACTCCAAATCCACAATCAGCACCCATGGCAGCAACAGTAAAGTAAACAAAGGGTTGCTAAGTGTGTAGGACGTATCTGCTGGCAAAGACTCCTTTAAAAATTATGGCATGCCTGCCCCAAGAAGCCATGCGTTTTTCAGTTGCCTCATGGGTAAAAACGGAACAATGAATAAGGAAGGCAGAAGAACCGATGCCTTTGCATTGTGGTTTTGGTGAAGAACACAATGTGTTCTGCCAGAAGAACAGAACAGATCTGGTTTGGAGGGCGTGTAGCCAGAATGTTCCTTAGAAGTGAGGATGGTGAAACTTGGTCTTAAAGCGCTTGGGCACGCTATCAGGAGAGACCCGTCCTTGGAGGACGTCATGCTTGGTACGTGAATTAGGGCCAGTTGAAAAGAGGAAGCAGCCTCAGGGGGTGAGCTCCAGTTGTGAGGATGGCTCGGGACTGGGCTGTTTTTGTTCTTTGGTGCATCAGGTCCCTGTGAGTCGGAACCGCCCAAGTGCGGCTCCCACCTGCCAGTACTGTTGCAGCGACTTAGCCGGGTCCTGCTCGCTGCTGCTGGCTTTCTCCTTTCTCTGCTGGCTGGCTTAGCCTTTCTTTTCTATTTCAGGTTCCTGAGGGATTCACCAGATTGGCCTAGCTAATTTACATCACTCTTAGTTGGGCAGAGGTTCCCATTGAGTGCTATGGCGTGGATTCGTGGCCTCTGGGTCAGGTGCTAACCTGTGTTGAATCAGCTGCAGGGGTGCAGTTATGAAACATGAAACAGCCTCCTGGCGCAAGGATAATCCGGACCCCATTGTTTTCTGTAGGGAAAGTGTGTGAGGCAGTTCTTTGCAGAAAGGGTGACTAAATCCTTTACCCAAAACTTGGGGGAGAGATCTAAATCTTGGCTGATTTGGAAGTTGCCTCTGAGCGATACATGAAATTCAGAATGCAGGAGAGCTGTGAAGAGTGTGAAAAGGGGTGGAGAATGAGAAGATGGAGGAGACTGAAGATAGAGAACTCTGGATAACGCCAACATTGAAAGACTGGTGGAGCCCCAGAAGGGTAGCTACATGGTGTCCAGACAGTGACGAGTGTGGTGTCACAGCAGATGAGCAGGAAGTATGAAAGAGAGGAAGTCAGCTTCGGTGTCCATGTAACACAAGCTTAGTGAAATTGGCACGGGAACTTTTCCATTGGATTTGGCAATTAGATCATTGTAGCCTCTAGGAAGAACAGTTTGAATTGAAGGATGGGGGCAACAATCAGCTATAAGTGGGTTGAATAGTAAATGGGAGAGACCTAGCAGAGAAGATTTGTGAATATAGACCACCTTTGAGATATTGGTGAAGAGAATAAGTCCAAAATATTGCCAATCTTAGAAACCTTTATTAAGCAAAAATATCAAAATGTAAAGCTGTGATGTTCCTTTGGCTTTCTTTCTGCTGCTAGGTTCTATCTGTTCTTTTTCTTCTAAAAGGGTATTCAGAGAGACAGGCTGAAGCTGTTTCTTGACACAGCCTGTATGTAGGTTTCTGTACTTCTGAAAGTGGTGCTTCTGCCTCTAACCCCGGATTCCCTAAAGCAGCAGTCCTCAACCTGCAGGTCGAGCGACTCTTTCACAGGGGCCACCCGATTCATAGCAGTAGCAACATGACAGTTATGGAGTAGCAACAAAAATAATTTTATGGTTGGGGGTCACCACACCATGAGGAACTATATTCAAGGGTCACAGACATTAGGAAGGTTGAGAACCACTGCCCTAAAGAATCCTGGATCTTCAGTGTGCATCATGTCAAACGGCAGTGTGGGCATCCCCAGTGTTTGCTAAAGTGATGTCCCTTTTCAGTGTTTGTTGGCTTGGGGAACAAGATGAGGGTCACAGAGTGACTGCCGTGGGGCTTCCTGTCAAAGTCCTACGACTGAACTGCTGACTGCCCTTGGAGAAGAAACCGGTTTCCTGGCCTTGTTCTCACCAGTGCCGCTGCCCGTTTTCTTACCACTGCTTCCTAGTACACCTCTGATTGTTCTGTGTTGTTGGAGAAAATGTATGGCGATTACCCCTTTGGAATCTTCAAAAGCACCATGACCTTATGAGCTGACCTCTCTGCCATGAACTTAACTGACCCAGAAGCTGCCCTTTGGGAGTCACTGTTCTGATTGGGCCCCCTCCTCTCCTTTTTAGAAAGGACCCTAGGGAGACTAAGACAAGTGTATGTGGGAGCTTTAAAAATTTATGGGAAAGTTCCATTTTTAATTGTGTTTTTTTCCCCATCATCTTTCTGAAGCACCTCGTACTAGTGAAAAGTTATCAATAGAT